TGGGAGTACTAATGTACTCTTCTAACAACGAAAAAAAAACAGATGCAAATTCTATCAAAATCTGTAAAAAAACCTCATTATCAAGCTGATTATAACGTGCAATATCGCGATGTAGTGTTCGAAGCAGAATCATTCCGACCTGAAATACAACTGTGCCATTATTCTTCAATATTCACTTGATTAGTATCCATCACGCTTACCCCAAACATAGGGTTGTTCATTCAACTCCCTACTAGAATTCGAAACTCCAAAACTTTGTTTTCTGGAGCTAAAAAACGCAAAATTTTCTGCTTTAGTACTCCCGCCTATTTTACTTTTCAATAGTTCAAGTACCGCATTCAGGACTGCTTAGAAGCTGATGGCAGATTTAACTCCCCAGCACACGTCAAAACTAAAAACACCATGTTTTTTAATCAAATCCCACTTTGCAGCTGAATTTTTGCCCCACTGGCTAACTTTGCCAGTTCGATTTGGACCCACGTGGTAAGCTCAAACATGCATTTTTTTTTGAGCAATTCTGCCCAAGTATGACTCCCTCCTAGTTACGATTTTCGCCCAAGATCTGGTGAAGGACACTGCTGGGATTCTCGGCCATTAAAGGGAACAGTTAACGCTTCCGAAGTTTTAGCTATCCTGCTAGCTTCTTCACAAAAGTGCACGAAGGTCATATACAGAGGAAACGGGTCAAATCTGGAAAAAAGAAAATAAAAAACTCATAAAAAATCACCATTCCAGAAAGGAAGAGAACGATAACAAGCGAGTTCAGGATCGAGAACCACTGAATGTTGGAATGAGGAACGGAATCCAGGATGTAATCCCAACGTGATGACCATTTCACATGCGTAGTCTGCAAGATGTATACAGTGCATTTCACAGCAAATTGTTGTGCAACAAAGATTATCATAGAAACGCAGCTGCTCCGAGGGTAAAAAATTCATATTTTTCGGTATATGGTTTCTAGAGCACTAAAATTTTGCTGTGCTTTAAATTTCATACTATTTAGCAGTTTATGTCGAATTAAACTCGAAAAAGAGAGCCATCGAGAGCCTTGCCAGCGTACGACTGCTATTAGCACGTACTAACTCTCCTCCCTCCGAGTTACTTCCAACCCTCCCCCTCCCCTCCCACCCCCGCCCCTTTTCCCACTGCTTTCATAGTACCAAGAAAAACCAGCGAAAAGACAGCGGCAAAAATGAAGTCGCTACAAATCCATACAATACCTAGAGGCAGGCAAGAAAAGAAAGGTGTATTCTGCTACAGTGGAACTGCCAAATATGCGGCACAACGGCCGCTGCTGTAGTGAATAACAATATTATGTCCGACCGTGAGAGGAGTGGTTTGGTTTCCTTCTAGTCCAATACTCATTTGCAAAAAGAGGGGTTCTTAAAAAGTACTGAAAATATTAAAATTTTAGTAAAAATATGACAAACCTGCCAGACAACTGAGTAGGTATAGATGAT